GGGGGCGTGCATTTTGAGAGCTGGACTAATGCTTCCTAATCAAAAAGTTGTCCCTTCAGAATAAAAAACATATGCAGACTGGACTATACTTTAAGCATCTATCCACAAGCTTCAAGAGAACTTGCTAAACTTGAAAATATTAATGCAAGGTTTCCAGATTATTTTCATCTATTGCCTTCATACTCCCTTTAGTGTCCAAGATCCTCACTGGGATGTTAGGCAATACATCTCTCTGTGATCTCACTGTCCTGGAAAATTGTGAGCTTCATCATTATGCAACAGTGAGACTACAGAGTCTTTTATATAAGTACATGAAAGCTATTTGGTCCATAATTGCCTGTTATTAAATAGAGGGGTTTATATATATGCATGTATGTATATATATATTAGTATTGAAATAACACTTTAAATTTCAAAATAGTCCTCCTGATAATTAACGTAAAAGCATGAAGGTTTATTTATATTTGTTCCAGACCAATAGTATTTCAGGGACAGGAGTAATTCAGTCAGTGTCTTGGAATCAAGAGCCTTCTGGAAAAGTGCAGCATAAGTAGGCAACAAAACCAGTGGTTCAGGTAACCGCTGTTGTTATTGGTTGTTTTTTGAGCAAGGGCAACTCAGAATCCAGTACTGCAGTGCCACTGATTCATTTCAGCTTAGTGGATAATTTCTAACACAGCTAAAACTTCAAGGAGAAAGAACATGGAATTTCCAAGCCTGTAGATCATCTCAATTAGTTTCTATTTCTCCTTCCCCATTATCTTCAATCTCTTTTACCACACAATTTAGCTGAAGCTCAGCATTTTCAAGCTTACAGATAAAACAAAACATGGCAGGAGCAGGAATACCTTAAACTATTTGAAACATTTGTATGCTCAAAAGCTATATTTTGCCTGGTGTGATATGCTAGGAGTGCTTTACTTATCTCCCTTTTTTTTCTCAGGACTCATCCCAATGAAGTTTAGCCATATTGCTGACACACTGTACATTTTGATGTATTCTGTGCCTACATGGTACACTAACAAAATCCTTACAGAGAAATTAGCACTATCTTTTTTAATTCCTGTAGCTTCATTGTTAGTAGGCTATGCTCTGGAAGTTCAGGACTTCACTTGAGAGGAAGAAAATGAGAGTCAGGAAAACTTAAGTTTATAATTAGAAAGAGACAGGGCAGAAGTAGATTATGCATCTAATCTACTTCTTCATGGCTTCAACATGAAGGTTGGATATGTATAGAGAATTTATGGAAGATTTTTGAAAGGACAACTTAAGGTATACTAAAGGAAATGACAGCGCTTGTCAATTTAAATTTGTGCATACAAACCCTCTAATTTCGTTTTAAAAATTCCTTTAAGATAGAATCTGCTTAGATGCAGTTATTCAGCCATATTAAACTATGATACCACTGACAATGAAACGTGAATGGCCATAATAGCTTTCCAATATCTGTTCAGTTTAAGGCTGAAAAAATCAACAGCATTTAAAGCCTAATAACAATCTCCCAAAATATGCTTGTAGGATGAAGGCCAGTATGGCCTCACGCCTCCTCCCACTTCACAGCAGTTGCGTATTGTGAACACTGTGGGTGTTCACTTCAACATGATTAGGTTCACAGAGTGGCAGAGAGAAGGGAAAGATGCTCTGCACTAATCCAAACTCGTTGTGCTAGCAACGTTTTTGACAGATAAGTTGGCAATAATCTGAATATTTTTGTCCCAAATAATGAATCTTGCATCTGAAACTGTGTTATAGAAAACAGTAACTCCTCTGTGGACCAGCTCTCCATCTGGTGTAATTTGGCATAGCTCATCTGGCTATAATTCATCAGATGTTATAGGGTATTTTGCATTTAGAAAATGGTATTAAACAAAATGTAAATGAAATATGAGAAAAAATATTCAAAGGTAAGAAATTTTAAATTAAGATGTTCTTTTTAAGCTGATCTGGATAATACTGGACGCTTCTGTGATGCATTGAACAGATTAATTTTCCTTAATATTTGTTTGCTGACACTAGCTTTTTTCTTAGTGTTATGCCTTTTCCATCCTTGACTTTTTTAGTTATGTCCCAGTTTCAGATACACAAGTCTATACATAGAATGAAGGTACTGTGAAATTTTTCCTTAATGAGCTAAAATTTGTCATGGAAGATGATTTTGAACACAGCTTACTTCAAATCACAAACAGATAGAGGCTGCTGTAAGTTTTAGTCCACCCAAAGTGAAACATTTTATTTTGGCTTATGTTCAGATCCAAAATCACAAAAGAATTATTCTCTGTTGCTGTTAACATGCAGTCACTCTTACCAGAAGAGATACACAACCTTTTGGCTCAAGACAGTATCTTGAAAGAACCCCTCAGCACACGTTTCTGTCATTTTTAAATGAAGACAACTAATAAGATTTTGACAGCATCAAAACTCCAAATTAAACAATAGACTTAAACTCATCTGTACCCTGAAAAACCTCAGCCTGTGTCACAGTGTCAAGACCTTTCTAAATTATTATTTTTTACAGCATATTCTTTTTCTAATTTGGATTATTTTTGATTTGCTAGGTTTTGTACTTTTTGAAGTTCTTCTTTTTGCACCTGAGCATCTTAATCAAACACTGTGGTATCAGGAGATGAAATTACATCATTGTTATTACTGACTACTGTTTGGAATCTTATCTGACAAATTGGTTTCTCATTCTTTTTTCCCATATGATAAAAAATTTGGAGTCTTAGAGACATGTCTGGATTCAGAATCTAATACTTTGTCAATAAGAAAAAAATCTTCAGATCACATGGATGGATCAGAGTATCTGTCCAAGTACAGTACCTGTTGAGAAAAGATGAAACGTAAGGCTTACATGCAGATATACCCATCAATTAACTAGTTTTAGAAGAGTTAGGTTTCCTGGTTTTGGCCAAAATGTCACAGTTAATCAAGGTTTCTAAAATAACTAGACTAAAACCTGTCACTTTAACATTAATTTGGAATGTTCCTGAGGGTTTTGAGGTTTTTTTTTAAGCTAATATAATGCAGATTGATGTGATATTTAGAATAAGATAATTTAAATAAAATAATTTTAATTTTAATAAAAATTTAATTTTAATAAAAATTCCATGTAGGACATGGAATAATTTTTGTGCTTTTCAACCACTTGTATGTGAACAACTAAAAACCTTTCATCAATTGATCTGGTATCTAGTGGGTTAAAATCTTCCCTGAATGACGCTTGACATTTTCTGTCAGGGTTTCTCAGAAGTTAGCTAACAAACTTTTTACCTCAACATAGCATCTGAAATGACAATTTTCCTTACTTTTCATGAAATTCACTAGAACTTAACCTAAATGCAGAATTCCCCTTGATCTTACTGATGATTTTGTGATAATATGCCAGGGAGCTGAACCTCCTTCCACACCCTTGGCAACTGAATTTCACCTCAGGAAATGTTATTCTGATCCCTACAAGAAGAGGGTTTTATTTGTAGAGACTGGGCAGGTGATACATGTCTTCAAGGCAAAGAAAACCTATACTTGAGAAGTTCTTACACAGTGATGAAAAAAAGTGAGGACAAACCAGAAAATTTATTTCTTCTGAAATGTTGTGAACCATTACCAAACGATAAACTGAGATGTTGCACACTATTTCACCCTCCAAACATCCTTCAACCAGGCAGGGTTGCAAAGACACAGAGTTATATGGTACCTAGTGGAATGCTAAGTCTGAGTACCAAGTCTCAGGATTTTTTCTTAAATGCCTAATATTACTGCAGTTCTCATTACTACATTCATCATCTCACACAGCCTAATTTAAACCTGTGCAACTGCTTTTTATTTAAGCAGAAGAAAAATAACTAAAGCTTGTTTTGCAGTATTTTGCAATTTATAAAGAGGTGTTTTGCCAATGCTTGCATGGAGTTGTGTTACCAGCACATGCTTGACTATATTAGAGAACTTTCTGAAAATTTAACTCAAATTGTTTCTGAAAAGGGAATGCATACGATATATGAGCTCATAATATTGTATATTAGTTTCTCCTACAGTGAAAAAAAAAAAAAAGATAGAGAAATATGGCATCTTCTGTGATTCTTTATATTAATTTTATGAAATACTTGTATATAAAAATATTGGTATGTGTAATTTATTGTGTACTCTGAAGGTGTTTGAAGTTTGTTGAGTGAATATTTTTTAAGATAGAGTGGTGCATGTATTACTGTGTATGTTAAATCAATGAATATGTAAGGAAATGGTGCAAATCTCTTTTGCTTATGTGGTCTTGGAATTTTTGAGGAAGATAATCAAGTACATGTGCTGCCCGGTTTCCACCAGCATTTAAACAAGTGAAGCAATTGTAAGATAACAGCCCCAATTTATGATGGTGATACAGTAAGAAAGTATTGTATCTATTCCTATATTTTCAAAAGGAAGCTTAATTTTGATTGCTTCAAGTTTTTAGAGTTGCCTTGAAACCTAATGTATATGCCTGATTTTCACAAAGACTAGTATCCTGAAAATCAGGGCTATTAAAGATTTCTCAAGTTGGGCACGAAAAGTATCATAACTAACTTTTGAAAAGAGAAGCCATCTTTCTTAAAAGAATGAAAGAAAAGAAAATGTGGTAGTGAGATTAGTTTAAAGGTTAGAGAAAATGGTTCAAAGTTAAATATATTTCAGAGAAAATCTAATTTTAAAATTGAAATTAACTAAATTTTATAAAGGATTTATTTGCCAATGCTAAAGATTACCTATGTACTGATTTCCTTGAAGTTGGCAAAATAATTCCCATTTAAAATATTGATCTTGCTTATTTTGAAATCCTTCTGTTACTTGTGTGTCTGTTTCTGGTTAAAATCTGTTTGGTTTGTTGCAGTACATGGCGTTTGGGAGGAATGGTCACCTTGGAGTTTGTGTTCATTCACATGTGGTCGAGGCCAAAGAACTAGGACAAGGTCATGTATACCTCCCCAGTATGGGGGAAGATCATGTGATGGACCTGAAACACAACATAAACCTTGCAATATTGCACTCTGCCCTGGTGAGCTCATATAGCAACTCTCTGCTTTGTTACAGTACATTCGATGTGGGTTGTTTGTGATTTCTTTAATTGCCCTTTGCACACAGAAAAAAAAAATGTTATACAAAGTGAGTAGGCTGGGTAATGTTCATAATTCTGACTGTAGTGATTAAAGGATATAATCAGGATTGTAACTCTGTTCAAGATTCTACACAAGCAAATTCTTAGTTTCTTCAAGGTATCCTCTCTGTAGGGCATGGTATATTGTGCAGGAAATCTTGATTCAGGATGGGTCTTGGAGAACCAAAAGGCAAACAGATTTCTGAGTGTGCCACAAAGGGAGACATTCAGAGGTCATAAAGTTTGTGTCCACCATATCTGTTTGAATTATGTTTGCTTGGAAGTTCGCTGTAATTATTTATTCATCATACAACAAACATATTTGGGAAACCATCAAATTTTAATTGTTTTTTAATTTATTCAAAATGCGTATTATTTACATGTGTGCAGAGAGAAAGGCTGACACAAGCTAGGGAATTATTTGAATCCCAGTTAAACTGTTATGGTAAGAATTTTAAGTGCATCATTTCTGGAAGTTAGTTGCTAAACAACTTTCAAAAAATTACCCCTAACCAAGTAAAAATGCGTGGGCTTAATGTTAAACCTCCTATCCACTGAAATTAAAACTAACTCAAAAAAATCTTCTATTCTTTTAAAATTTTTGTCCATAGGTTACGATTAATTTTGACCAAATTTTTCAATATGTGTATATATTTACACACATATACACACACACACATATATATATAAACCTAAGTGTTACAATGAGTTCAGTAACCATAAAGAAGTTTATATATATAATTATTGGAGTCATTGTATACTTAGGTATTTAAAAGGTGTCAGGTAGCTGTAATGTGAGAAGTTTCTTTCAGGAATTCTGTCTGACAGTGCAATGGTTGCCCTTGCAGTGTGCTTGTTGAATATCCACAGTTCACAACACTGCTGCAAATAGATTCTCCGTGACCAGGGCTCCTGGTCCCCTCCTGAAAAAGGTTGATGGCCATTTCATTAGCAAATGGTTGGCTGATGATTTGAAAACAGAGATGATAGAAAAAAATGGAACTTAGTGCCTCACAAAATTAAAATTAAATTTCTTAGATTTTTATGAAACCTGAGCCTTGCTTTTCCTCTGGTCAGCAAAGCATACTCCAGCTTCAGGACAAAATTTGCGTAAAAGTTTTAGACTGGTATGAAGCTGCAAAAATTTTGAATTAATCCAGTTTTTGGCCAGGTTGGCAGCTGTGCAATTTTACATGTGCCTACACAAAAGTAATTAACATGATATATGAGCATGAAGCAGAGTTGACAACAAGACAAATGCCAAATAAAAATAGCAGTGAAGAAATTAATGTATTCAGTTCACTTCAGTATTGCAAAGGAACACAAAAGATATTACACCTAATCTGTCAAAATAAGCAGTTATTTGAGAATTCTGGATTTGGAACAGTCATTTGTACCTAAATGACTTTCACCAGAGGAAGTTATATACTGGTTACATTTAAAATTAACAGTCTAAATCTTCGCTGAATGTTAAGATTTGCTGCAACCTGAATGTTCAATTTTATAAGGGAATCTTCACGTTGAATTCTTTAGTCTTTTAACGGTATTTCTGAAATAGAAAACTCACTTGCTATTTGCTCCTAAAGATAAGGAAAAGAGATGTATTAAATATATATGAGAAGCCATGGAATGAGTTTTCTCCAAAGACACTATAATAATTGATTCGATCTTTCCTACCTTAAATAATACTATATAGCAATGAATAAAACTGAAGAGGGTGCATTGAAATGTAATTTCCATAATGTTTTCCTCTTCACATAAAGCTTTTATGATTAATGAATGCAACTAGCTTCCATGTTTGGAAAGATTTCCATTTTCTGCTGAATAAATTATCAGGGCACAGCTTCATAGCTTGAGAGGCATATGCATTGAGAAGTGGTTCACAATCAGGCATTACATAGAATATTTAATATAGAACTTTAGGAACAAGCCTCAAACCCTCTCTTCCTTTAATTCACTGGTTGCTGAGATCCTGGGTATTAGAGATACAGATAGTGTCTTCGAATGGTTAGAAATCTTCTGTGGTTACTGTCAGACAACAGTGAAATAGTTCATCTCCACATTTCACTGAGCAGTGGTGCACCCATACATACACAGTATGTTAAATCACTAACTTTAAGATTCTGCTTCCTATTATAATTATTAACACCATCAACTTAGGAAGCTGTTATTCCAACCCTCCTTTAGACAAATCCTGAAATCGGGGGTTGGCAAGTGCACCAAGTGAAGCCATTTGTTTTCAGCAGTGGTGCTTTTATGGCATTAGTAGTCATAAACCCAGGTTTTCAAGGATGAGTATTAATCAAAATTGTACAACCTACATTTTGAGTTTATATAGGGTAACTGCAGGTGTGATGAGGAACTGATGATTGCTGAAGTCTGTATGAACGCAGGATTCTGCATTAGCACAATCAGTAATAACACATTTCATAATCCTTACCCATTTTCAAAAATGCTGTCTAGTCCTATTATCTATTATAGACCATATAATTATTCACTTGCATGGGAATTTAATTGGTTTATATTTTTTATTTATTTTTTTAATATTTTCATTTGCCTCAAGAAGCTTTCTGAGATACAAAATTAAAAATAACAGTCCTAAACCTTTACTCGGCGGAATATTCATCCAAACTCAAATGTGTGGGCTAATACAATATACTAAATACAGAACTGGTCACCATATCTATATTGTTTGAAAATTCAGTTTGAAAATTTAAAAAGAAGATTATGCAATATGCAAACACAGAAGCAGACCCAAGGAGGAAGGCAAGCCATTTCTGTCCTCGTACATTTTATCTCAAAAAAAAGTCTAAGAACTGGGATCATTTACCTTACAGGGAGGATGAATGATAAAAGTGTATTCAGCATTATAAGTATAGCGAACAGACTGTACATGAGGCAAAGTGGTAACTGCTGTTTTCCTTTTCCTATTCAACTAAAGAGACCTAATTTCACAGTCAGGACCGATAATCTTATAAACTGACCCATCTGAGTGGTCACCGCAGCTGTAATAAAACACTTTGAAGGGCTCAGTGTTTACATCATACAAGACTGGCCTCCATTTTTCGCTAAAAAGGCAAGACCAGTCTTTTTAATAAGGCCTTGCTTTTAATAAGGCCTTGCTTTTAATAAGGCCTTTCAAACTGTATGGTATGCGAGCAAAATCCTAATTTATCTTTTGTTATGCCAGTGTATAATTAGAGGAGATGAAAAGTTCTTTACTTGAAGAGAAAGGAAAACAGTTTTAAACGATTTTAAAGTAGCTCGTAACGGCAGTTTCTGTATTTGATTGCTGTAAGAAGCCAAGCGTCTTCAGGCTAGGCCCAGGCTGAGGGGCTGCATTCAGGCCTGTGTTGAAACCCCCTAACCTAGAAGGAAGCTGCGAGGCCCTGCCCGGCTCAGGTGGTAACTCTGCTGTGTCCATCTCTTTTGTGCCTGCCGCGGCAGTCGACGGACAGTGGCAGGAGTGGAGCTCGTGGAGCCAGTGCTCGGTGACCTGCTCCAACGGCACCCAGCAGCGGAGCCGGCAGTGCACGGCGGCGGCCCACGGCGGCTCCGAGTGCAGAGGGCCCTGGGCCGAGAGCCGGGAGTGCTATAACCCTGAGTGCACCGGTGAGTACCAACCGGCGCGGGGAATCATAGCTCTACCTCTCCTGCTCAGGAGAGACCTGGGGACCCGTCCTGCCAGTAGCTCTGAGCCGGGATCTGGGGGAACACCGGCAGGCTGCCAGGGGGCCAGCAGAGGCCTCAGCAGGCTGCAAAGGGGCAGAGCAGTCACCTCCAGAGGGAGGCCTGGGCCCTTGCTTTCTTTCATTCGGTGAGCTACCTGGAGATAAAAAGCTAAGGAATGAATTGGGAAAGACTGCACGACTGGCTACATATCAGTTTTTTTTTGGTTTTATCACCATTTAAAGGACATTCAACAGTTTTAGAAAGTTATGTTTGAGGCCTAAAAAACTTGATGAAGTGTCTCACAAACCTAGAAAGTGACCAAGTATGTACTGATTCCCTTTTACACTGAGACTACTTCATGATCCTCTGGCAATATAAAAGCAGCCTTCCAGGTTGGGTAAATTACATTTATACCGACTTTTAAGCCTCATTTGCACTGTCAGAGCATGTAAAAATCAAGCTCCTAAAATAACGCAAAAATGTTTTTGTTTAGTTTTTTAAAGGGTTGTTATGCACATTGTGAATGGTATCATTGCTATACATCAGCACTATACAACTATATAGAAAAAAATACAAAAGCGACAATGTCAGTTTTGCAGTATCAATGTAAGTTAATGTGCACCAATTCCTTTTATTTTATCTCAAGATGCAAGTCATTTAGACATCAATTCCATATTTAGGAGCCAAGTAGAGACTTCCCCATCTTCCACACGCCTCCATCTACCACTTCTGTCACTGTTAGTTATATCTCGGGGGCTTTCTTCTTTTACCTAAGTAAAGAATAACCTATATATCCTCCTTTATGACATTGGTTATGTGACCACTGTAACTATATTTTTCCAAACAGCAAATGGCCAGTGGAACCAGTGGGGCCATTGGAGTGGCTGTTCCAAATCCTGCGATGGTGGCTGGGAGAGACGGATAAGGATCTGTCAAGGTGCTGCCGTGACTGGGCAACAGTGTGAAGGAACTGGAGAGGAAGTTAGACGATGCAGTGAACAGAGGTGTCCCGGTGAGATGCAAATATAATTGTTGTTATTATCTACACTACAGTATGGCTTACTTTAATGGTCATCTTCAGTAGAGACAAAAATCAACGTCCATAGAGGACTAGCCATATCTGGCCTTGCTTTAGACAAGTCGCAGCTGTTTTTCTCAGTAGAATTTTTTATGTAGCTAGGTGTCAACTAGCCCCATTGGATATATAAGCAATGCATCATGTTTTAAATAAATCAAAATACTGTACTATAGAAAGTTATCAGAAAAATATTTCATTGCCTTGGTATGCATACATTATTTGGACCGGCGATGATTTGCTATAGTAATTCTCTCTGAATGCACTGTGTCTCAGAATATCAGGGCTGGTTTTGTAAATCATGGAATTCCTTTTAGACAGTGTACAAGAGATGACTTTGTAATACATTTGGGGTGAATTTCAGTGCAATAAAGATAAAGGAAAAAGTGAAGCTTACTGTACTCTATAGAACAAATGAATACATGAGCAACTTTTGATAAAAAGGGAAGTAATTTAAAATGAAAAAGGCACGTCTTTCCTATTTTAATATAATGCTTAAATATATTTCTTTGCAGCACTTTTTACTTTGCTCTCCCAACAAATTTAAGTCTTTCCCACTGAAAGCTGATAAAAGTGTACTTTTGAGCTTCTTCAAAAGTGACAAATAAACAAGAACAGCTGGTGAATCCAATCATATTTATCTGTAAAGACACATTGTCCTAAGGTCAAAGAATGCATTTTCAGATAGGTGTAAGATAACAAAATAAGGTGTAAGTAATATAGGATGTCTTAGACATTCACTTGGGAAATTATGTGTTCTGAACTGCAAAACAGGAGGCAGCAAAAATCAATCTAGCAATCTTTCCGACTTCTGGACATTTCGATGGCTATGTTCTCTGCTAGTCAGAGAAAGGACTTAAATGGCAGGGATGCTTTGGGTGAGGAAATGGGGAAATACATCAGATGTGAATTTTATGTTGTCAAGCCCACATTTTCATAGGCAGTGCGTTTATCCCTTGACAGCCATTAAAGAAAAGTTTTCAAGGTATTTGCAGTACAGTAGAACAATGAACCTCATTGCATTTGAAGAACAACAAAAGGACTATTTGTAGTTATAAAGTTATAATACTATACTGGAGAAGTTAAGCAAATTTGACTTACTTCTCAAATGATGTCTTTAATTTTAATAAAATATTCATTATCTGAAAAGCAGTACAAAACAGTATTTGTATTGGATTCTAAAACAAATTATAATTTCTGTAGTTAATGCAGACTTCCTCTATAAAAGCACAGCACTAAGAGAACGTTAATGTGAATCTTCTCAATAAGCAGACACTCAGATCAACCAGCTTCTGCTTATAAAACCATTCTTGAGATAATTTGCATTTATATATATAAAAGTGAAACCGTGCTGCTGCAGTCCAATTTTCAAAGGTTGCCACCTGCTGTTAATAAAATATTTTACAGATGTATTTACAAGTCAAATGCACACAGAGCTTTATTTGCCATTTGGTAAGTTTATTTATTTACTTGATTAATTCCAGATTAGAATCAGTATGCTTATAGAAACCATAACGCAAAGCACCTTTTAACAAGCTATACTTGTGCAGAAGATCATACATGAACAACAGGTTTTATTTATCTATTTCCAGACTGACATTTACTAAAACATCACAGATTTAAATAAAAGTGGATAATTTACCAAAATTTTATGTGATATAAAGATTTGCATTTTATGAACACCAAGAAAAATTGAAAAGTACTATACAGTGATATCATTCAAAGCATAAGCAAATTTCTTTATTTGTATGCTTTTCTTCTGAAGCCCTAAAATACTTCAGAAAAGCTGGTTTTGTTTCAGTGGTTTCTTTTTCTGTGTAAGTCATTGAGAAACAGGACAGACTAAAATGTTAGGTTTTTCCTTATATTAGCATTGCTTTACCATAAGTGTAAGGCCTCCTCAGCTCTGTAGATCTGCATAACGTATTTGTAAAGTGGATGAATCTGCACCTATTTGTATCACCCAGAGGTCTGTAGACTTACAGAAGGTTTAATTATAGCTGACTTTAAACAGTGGAAGCAAAAGGAAAATAAAACCTTTTTCTATCATGCTGGCTGCTGTTAAAAAGATACTTTGCAAACAGAACTGTTCACTTGACTGACTGAAAATCTTAACTGGATTTTTTGTAGTTTGAGTTCTGCTTTATCTGAACATTATACAAGATTTTCTTCATAGTGGATCAGTGATTCCCTTCAAATTGTTTGGGCAGGGACTGAATTACATCAGATACTCCTAGAAGCTGAATATATGCAACACTAAAGGCAGGCTCGGAACTATTATCTGAAAGTCGGTTTATCAAAAAGCTTGGTTTCTGGACAAATGTTGAGTATCTTTCTTTGTGATTTATTTCTATTCACAATTAGAAATTTTAAAACTACAATTGTTTCCTTTCATTGTGTAATGTTCTGGGAATGAAAAACAAGCGTCTGAAGAGACTTTGTCTTCAGTCATTTCTCCTTTGTTGTATCCCAAATGTCTAAAGTTATATTTCACTCCTAGGTGGTCAGCAGTTTTAGGGATTAACTACTCTTCACTCGAAGTATCCTTTTGTGAAAGATAACTTCAGAAAATTGGAAACAAATCAGAGACTGGAAAAAAACCTAGATTTGCTAAGCAGCTAGTCACGCAGGAATCACTGCAGAGAACTTACACAGGATGAACGAACAATAGCTCTGTCCCGTAGGAATAAAGGAGACAGCTAGGTAACAAAAGAAGTTGCAACCCATGACTGATAGGGAGTTACATGGTAAGCTGATCAGAAACTTTTAGAGAAATGTGAAAGGAATAAGGTAATACAATCAAATGTGTCAGTAAAAACTAAGAGATGTGGGAACTGAGAATGAAGTGCAGAATTATTCAGAAGAGAAGACTTCTGTAAATTTATTTTTATCAAAATAGGACCATGTTCTTGTCACAGTTTTAAGAATATCTTAGGTTCCAATAATACAGTATTGGTTTCCAGAAATACTTAATTCTGTAATAATTAATTCTGTGATAATTCATAGAGTAGAATCATAAAATGGCTAGAGTTGGAAGGGACCCCAAAGATCATCTAGCTCGAACTCCCCTGTCATGGGCAGGGATGCCCTCCACTAGACCAGGTTACTCAAAGCCCCATCCAACCTGGCCTTCAACACTCCCAGGTATGGGGCATCCACAACTTCTCTGGGCAACTGATGCCATTGTCTCACCACCCTCACAGTAAACAACTTCTTCCTAATATCTAATCTAAATCTACCCTCTTCCAGTTTAAAACCGTTACCTGACTTCCTATCACTACACTCACGGATAAAGAGTCCCGCCTCATCTTTAATGTGTGCCCCCTTTAAATACTGGAAGGCTGCTATAAGGTCTCCCCAGAGACTTCTCTTGTGCAGGGTGAAGAGCCCCAACTCTTTCAGCCTGTCCTCCTATGAAAGGTGCTCCAGCCCTGGAGCCATGGGCCTCCTCTGGACTTGCTCCAACAGGTCCATGTCCTTCTTGAGTGCTCCACAGCTGGACACAATACTTCAGGTGAGGTCCCACCAGAGCAGAGTATAGGGGCAGAGTCACCTCCCTAAACCTGCTGGCCACACTTCTTTTGATGTAGCCCAGGATGCAGTTGGCTTTTTGGTCCACGAGCACACATTTCTGGCTCATGTTGAGCTTGTCATCAACCAACACCCCCAAGTTCTTCTCCTCAGGGCTGTTTTCAATACATTTTCTGTCCAGCCTGTATCTGTGCTTGGGATTGCCCTGACCTATGTGCAGGACCCTGCACTTTGCCTTGTTGAACTTCACGAGGTTTGCGTGGGCCCACCTCTCAAGCCTTTCAAGGTCCCTCTGTCTGGCATCCCTCCCTCCAGCATGTTGACTGCACCACACAGCTTGGTGTCATCAGCAAACTTGTTGAGTTTGCACTCAATCCCACTGCCCATGTCACCAATAAAGATATTAAACAGCACCAGTCCCAGTACTGACCCCTGAGGAACACCACTCATCACTGGTCTCCACTTGGACATGGAGCTGTTGACCACAACTCTTTGAATGCAACCACTTGGCCAATTCCTTATCCACTGAGTGGTCCATCTGTAAAATCCGTGTCTCTCCAATTTAGAGACCAGGGTATCATGTAGGACAGTGACAAATGTTTTGCACAAATCCAGGTAGACAATGTCAGTTGCTCTTCCCTTATCCACCAACGCTGTAACCCCATCATAAAAGGCCACCAAATTTGTCAGGTATGATCTGCTCTTAGTCAAAGAGGCAGCCTTGGCTGCCACCAACAATTCTATGCGTGTTCCAATATTTATGCTTTACCCAGATTTTACTCAAAAGAGCTCCTCAATATTCTTCTCATAAGTCAGTGGTAGAGAACATAATATAGGATTTTTTTTTGACCAAAATATTACTGAAAACAATGATAGACCATCTTTTTTGTTAAAAAAAGATAAAAGAGCACAACTGCTGCCGAAGACTAGCTAATGATTTCCCACTGGAGGTAAAAGGTTTCTTCAGAGGAAATGCTAGCTACATAAGATAAAATATGAGAAGGGTGAAGATTCAAATACTTGTCAACAACTAAATAATAAAATTAAACTTTTGGGTTTTGATTTGCCTCTGATTACAGCACTATTCTAAAAAACATTCAACATTCACTTTTTTCTACTGCCTTTGTTTAAGATAATTTTGTCTGTGCTGTTCAATTAGGATTCAAGAAAGGAGCGGTAGTTGTAGCTCCATTTGTGAGGTACTGTGTGCCGTTGGCTAACTTCCTTCACCCTTTCATTACCCTTTCCAATATTTATTATCTGCCTAGGTAGATCGTAAACTCTCTGAGGTTGTGAATGTCTCTTGCTTTGTCCATGTGCGGTACACAGCTTCCTCAGATCCTAGGTGGGCCGCCCGCCTCTTGAAGATGCATGTCCTCTCAGCAGTAATCTCAGAGGAAGACTGTGCTTCTAGACCACTGACTTTGTTGAGTGTTTGTGCTTAGGTGGGATGAATTCAGGCCTATCATTACGGGGGTATAACACGGTAAATTTGACTACATGCTCTGTGTGGGAAGATACTGCTGAATCACATCGTCAGTGAAAGAGACATCTGCTTTTTATTTGCCAATTTTAGCGAATTTACCTCAGTGTTTGCTGTTTCCTTCTAAATTTTAGCAATTCTCTATGATTTTCTGCAGCTAACTCACATTTATCTGTGGGTGTGTTATGAATTAATTGTGCCATGGTTACAGAAATACTTGAAATGGTCCTGAGCAGAGCCAGCAAGGCCACCGAGGCCTTTAAATTCTGATATAATACCACTCCAGCGTCACTGTAATGTCTCCATGGGCAACATGGGTTGGAGCCTCACAGATGCTTTAATGTGGGTGGATGCCTGATTAGTAAGCTCTGGCAGATATACTTTAGCTTTGGGAAGAACTGGTTTGGTTTTTATGCACAGCATTCCTTGATCCAAGGTGTTTGTACGATGCATTGAAAGGCACATAGGTGCACTGCACAGAGTCAGCCAGGGAGCAGGAAAAATTGTTTGCCAGGGCTAAGTGATACCTCTTCCAAACTCTGACTCGCTCCTGCACCTCTTTCCTGCTAACTCTGGGTGGGTCTTGGGAATGCCTTTTACTTTGAACACCACAAACAGGTGCACAGATTATCTCTGTCACTAGGCTAACGTTAAAATGTAGTTTTGAGTTCTAAAAAGTGTGATGCAAAACCACACAACTAGTACCCTTCCAAATAGATGGGAAATCTCTGATATTATCATAGAATCATAGAATGGTTTAGGTTGGAAGGGGCCTTGAAGATCATTGAGTTCCAACCCCCCTGCCATGGGCAGGGACACCTCCCACTAGACCAGGTTTCCCAAGGCCATGTCCAGCCTGGCCTTGAACACCTCCAGGGATGGGGCCTCAACAACCTCTCTGGGCAACCTGTTCCAGTGCCTATATTAGCTGAGACTTGCTAACATAAAGGAGAAAATATTGTGCATCTAAGTATGGATATATATGCATGTGGGGTTTTTTGTTGTTTTTTGTTTTTTTTTTTCAGAAAATAAAACCAGATTTGACATTCAGTATTTGGAGGGAAGTAAGAGGTTTAGTGCTGAGAATCAGCACCTAAAGTGTTGATTCGTGAACCTAACACATTTGAAATGGCCACAGCTTCATGACAAATACACTTCTTAGAGAGCTCTAAACTTTAGCAAATCTATGTAATTTATAATATCACCTCTGCTAATTTATGCTCCCCAAAGCAGAACATTTATTTTCTTTTTAAAGTCATAGTAGGATGGTAATTGCATTTGCTTATATCACCAGATGGCTTATGTTTGTCAAAACCTGAATTTTTCACTTGTAACACTAGCCTGATGCATTCAATTTTTGGGAATGTCTGAAGTAGTGTTGGTATTCTAGATTATGAATATAACTAACTTTCTTTGGGTTTTGCCATTAATGGATCTCTTGCTTTTTTAGCAGCACCAACTGTCTTGATTTGTGATGCAGGAATGCTGATGGTGAGGCAAATTTAGCAAGCACTTTTTCTGCCCACTTGTGATTCATATCAGTATTACTGAGCCATTTGTAAGGTATTCTGTGTCCTCCACAAAGAGAGGTTACAGCTTTGTGTTAAAGTCTGCTCAGTTCCCTTACTTACCTCTGTCTTCCACCAACAGAAGCAAAAAACAGGGAAGATGGACAGTTTTATAAGTTAGGTAATGGGATGGGCAAAATCTGTAGTCTGTTCCTGCGTCTGCTAGAGGTTTCCGATGCAACCATGGGTGAATCATTGAATTGCTTTCTGCCTTATCACCCCATCTGCTATAGTGATAGAATTTCCTTTCTCTTTTCGTTTTTCTTGTTTTGTAACCACTTTGCTGTAATACAGAGGGTTACCATTTTCCTGAAATACATATAACCTTTAAACAACTCGTAGCTTTTCTTTGCTGAACTTGGAATGACTTAAATTTCAGTAACTAGCATTTGTCAATGCTTTAGGTTGTAAGATGACTTCAGCCAGATGTTTTCTGTTTTAATCTAATTTATTCAAAAATCATAAACTGGGAATCTACAGTAAAAAATACAAAGAGTGAAAGGAATCTGTAGGTCTTGACCATGTGAAAATAAAACACAAAGCATTTGCAGAAGCTTCTTTTTCCCCATGCAGTTGTTACTATGGAATTGTGAAAATATTTTTTCCATTTAAATGGTATTGCAATAACCAGTAAAAAGGCCATTTTGTTTTATAGCCACTCAGTCCCACATTATTGACTATACTTGCTTAATTCCCAACTTGTACTGAAACACATTTCAAAGAAATAACATGCTTTTTGGTTTTCAGAATATACAGCTCTCATTTGATACCTTTAGCACATCTAATGTTTCATCTGTGGTTTCAGAACTGATTCTTTCACAGTTTAATTTTTAGAAAAATCTTTAAAAAATTTAGTGTAAGATAACCATCACAGCTTATAACAGTTTAAGTATCATCATCTGATAGACAACCTAAAGAGTGTTTGCTTGCTGAAGAGAATAAAGACACAGACTGTATGAAATAAATACCATCACAAAGACAGATACTATACAAAAATTACAGCAATTGAATTTTTTAGCTAATTAAAGCAAATGAAGTTAACTTTTACATCTCAGGAAAAACTAGGACAAGATTGAAGACTTACTTTTCTGACACAAAATATCTGTTTTACATTAATATTTTTATTTAAATTCTCATTTCTAAATGCAGCACCTTATGAAATATGTCCTGAAGACTATTTGATGTCAATGGTGTGGAAAAGGACCCCAGCTGGGGACATGGCATTCAATCGATGTCCTCTCAATGCCACAGGTACAGTATTACTTTGAAATTATATGATGATAAAAAAGGGGAGAAATCTTTTACATTGTGTTCTAGGCATAATCATTACTAGACTCGAATACATATGCATATATGTGAATATATCTATATAAACCCCACATATTTACATATGCATATACATACATACAGTATATACATGTACATATACTGTGTCTCTTCTAACTTACATTTCTGCATGGGTCTGTGGTGTATATATATGTATACACATACAGATATGCATTATAGCCAGAGAGAAAAAGCTGAGAAGAATCAATTTGACAGGACCTATCAGACAAAGTGATGAAAATGAAGCAAGACATAAAAATCTTTTTAAACAAGAAAACATTGCTAAAAACCCACCAAGTGAACACTGAAATGTCTTTCAGAATCTTATATTACCCTCTATATACTGAAGATCATTGCATGCAACTGTTTTTGTGTGTGCTTTTAAAATAGCATGGAATATAGCTTAAATAAGGTTCATTCTTTCCACTTGCTCTCACTTATGTAAATATTTTCTATCTTCTTTGTGACTTACAGGCACCACTAGCAGACGCTGCTCTCTCAGTGTTCATGGAGTGGCCTTCTGGGAACACCCAAGCTTTGCTAGATGCATATCAAATGAGTACAGACACTTGCAGCATTCAGTAGGTGCAAAGCCAGCTTTAGTACTTGCTCTGTTTATTCATTACTAATCACTGGTGTGACAAAAACCCTTACTTATTTAGTCTCAAGTCAGATTTCTGATAAGAAACGCCAGGAGGAAAATAGACCTCAGAAAGTATAATTTATATTCATGTATATTATTCTGTTCTTGTATATTGGTGGTGTTTGAGTGAAAGAAGCATTGTCTTACTGTAGAAATGGAAAAATGAATCAGATTCCCTTTTTTCATGTCCAGTGTGTGATATTTTTATAGGGGTCAGAGGTAAGATGCATATTTTAGTTTATTAGTAAATGAGATGTGAATAAATGACATTTACTGAAAGAGTGACCTGCAGAGTAATTTTATAATACCTTGAATTCTTTAAGTGCACACTAGGAAGTCAGAAACGATATTTTTTTTTTGCTATCAAATTTAGAACTTCACCTTCAAATGTAACAATAGGAAATTATTATAGGGTAAAGCTATGGCAGTGTCTTGGAAGAAGTAAAGTAACTCTAGGTGAAGAATATTATGGGGGTTTTTTTAGTAGGCTTAAAAAAAAAATTATTTGCAGAGCATATGCATTATACATTTATCTACTGCCTAAATATGTTTATATGGATAGATGTAATATGTTGTATATATTGCATTGTAAATATACTACCCTGGTATATGCTAGGTATATTGATTACATTCTATTTCCATAGCCAAAGCATCCAGCCAGGTTAATACTATTGTGGGAAGAACTCCTTTAAAGATTCTCATGGACAATGTTTTTTGCCTTCATGTATTGGGTTTGCATGGCAAGGTTTCAGTAGTGAGGTTTACTATAGTGGCAGCTTCTGTGAGAAACTGCTAGAAGCTTCCCCCATGTCCAGTAGAGCCAATGCCAGACAGCTCCAAGACGGACCTGGCGCTGGCCAAGGCCGAGCCAATCAGCGACAGTTGGTAGTGCCTCTGTGATAACATATTTAATAAGGGGAAAAAATAAAACCAACTGCGCAATTGCAGCCAGAGAGGGGAGTGAGAATACGTGACAGAAACAACTCTGCAGATGCCAAGGTCAGTGAAGAAGGAGTGGGACAGGAATGGGACATTATTATTACTCTGCGTCCTTTTCCAAAGGCCACTTCTCCATTACTCATTCAGCAGAGGGGCACTAATACAGCTGTGTGCTTTATAACTTCCCAACCTCTCAACCAAGTTCAACACTTCTGTAGCATCTTTAAAAATATTTGGAAGCTTGAAAAGTAGTAGCCTGGCTGTCATTCCTCAAATCCGGCTTCCTACTTAGGGGAGATCTTGACGAATTCCTTTGAGCTGCATTTCTGTTTTATTAGTTTTCAACTTAATTGAGGACTGGGATTCAGTTTCAGGGTAAGCCAAAGCAAGCATTATTTTTAAAATAACACAGAAAAAATTGTCAAAGCAATTTTCCCCACTACAGAGAAACTTTCCTATTTTATATAGCTGTCTGCATGTTGCTCTATCCCTTTAGCATTCACGCTGGAAAAAAACCCCAAGCATTAAGTTGGCTGTAACTGTTTTGCATTTTATATTTTTGATTTTATTTTTTTTTTAAGCTGTATATAGTATGTCTAAATGTACCTTATGGGCATGGACAGCAATACATTTGTATTTCGTTTGCTTAGAATCTATATTTTTGTAAACAGCGCAATAAAGGCAACAACTGTAGGTAATATATATACAGTTTTGAATACTAATAATGTCAGTGCAGAACAAAAAATTATATTTTGTGATTGAAAACATTGAGATATTTCAAAGTAAAGCCAATTAGTTCTCTTTTATTTGCTATTTTCCATTTAAATATTACAATCTTCTGAAATATTTAAAGGCTTTTGAAATATTTTAAAGGATTTATTCATCTTGGCTTGCCTGTCCAGAAGACCACTCCTTTAGACTTTTGTTCCTCTGCCCTTACCTTTTCATTCATAAGCAACTCAAACAGCGTTAAATGATCTTTCATGTTATTAAGTGGTTTGACTTAACCTGGCTAACTTTTGGTGAGGCACTGATATTTTTTCACGAGCTGCAAGTCTGCCTGGCAGGAAGGGGTCATTGTTTTACAGAAGAAGGCTTTTCTAACCCAGATCAGATTTATCTATTCTTCTATATTTCCTTTTTCAAAATATTAAATACTATTAGACCGCACTGTGAAATAATCTGTTGCCAAAGAACATTTAAAAATAGCTAAATCTTCTTTAAAATTACACAAGCATCTAAACATCATCTTATTGCTGCAAAAAACTTCAGTCTCGTTTATATGCATGCAAACTAAAGGAGAAAAGTGGATTTCTTTTACACTTGGGAGCTGTTCACAAAGAAAATCAGCTTGTCTTACATCTTACTGCTTCTCAAAGTGAACAACCCAGCATATTTAAAGAATCATAGAAAACAGAGGTAAAGACCTGTAAGGTCATCGCCCTGCAAATGTAGGCTTGTCCCCCCACGATACATATGTCAGCTCTATAAATCCCTGAAAATAGGGCTTTATAAGGAAGCTGCTGACAGACGGTGTTGCTATAATAAATATGCATGCTTATGAAAGCATTTATGAGATGCCTCAGTGTGCTTAACTTACCAATAATGTTATTTTACCAACTCAGACCAGGAGTAGTGGGGGGTATCATTTAGTTCTGTGAACATTCCCATAAAATCTGAGTCTGGGCTGAATCCCTTTCATTTCTTACCTGAAACCCATAAAACAAAAGTAGGTGTATAGTCTTCAAAAATTACATTTCTGAAGTTGATTTAAGGCAATTGATATACATAAAATACTTAATATATTAAAGCACGCCCGGCTGGAGGAATACAAACAGGTCCCTGTCTCTTTGCCCTTCAAAAAAGCCACATATTATAGAATCATAGAATCATAGAATTGTCTAGGTTGGGAGGGACCTTTAGGATCATCAAGGTCAATCATCAACCTAACATTGCCAAAAACCACCACTAAACCATGTTCCTAAGCACCACGTCTACCCATCCTTTAAATACCTCAAGGGATGGTGACTCTACCCGCCCCGGGTAGCCTGTTCCAATGCTTAGCAACCCTTTCTGTGAAAAACTTCTTCCTAATAACCATCCTAGACCTACCCTGGCCTAACTTGAGGCCATTTCCTCTTGTCCTGTCGCTTGTTACTAGCGAGAAGAGGTCGACCCCCACCTCTCTACAACCTCCTTGAAAGGTAGTTGTAGAGAGCAATAAGGTCTCCCCTCAGGCTCCTTTTCTCCAGACTAAACAACATCAGTTCCCTCAGCTGCTTCTCATGACTTGTTCTCCAGACCCCTCACCAGATTCTTTGCCCTTCGCTCCAGCACCTCAATGTCTTTCTTGTAGTGTGGGGCCCAAAACTGAACGCAGGATTTGAGTTGGGGCCTCACCAGTGCCAAGTACAGGGGAATGATCACTTCCCTAGTCCTGCTGCCCACACTATTCCTGATACAGGCCAGGATGCCATTGGCCTTCTTGGTCACCTGGGCACACTGCTGCAGCTGGCTCTCGACCAACACCCTCAGGTCTTTTTCCTCCGGGCAGTTTTCCAGCCATTCCTCCCCAAGCATGTAGCACTGCATGCAGTTGTTATGACCTAAGTGCAGAACCCAGCACTTGACCTTGTTGAACTTCATACCGTTGGCCTCGGCCCATCCATCTAACCTCTCCAGATCTCTGTGTAGGGCTATCTGCTCAAGCAGATCGACACTCCCACCTAACTTAGTGTCATCTGCAACCTTACTGAGGGTGCACTCAATCCCCTTGTCCAGGCCATTGACAAAAATATTAAAGAGAACCGGCCCAGTACTGAGCCCGTGGGAACACAACTTGTGACGAGACCCCAACCGGATTTAACTCCATTCACCCCCACTCCCTGGGCCCGGCCATCCAGACAGTTTTTTTCCGAGCAAAGAGTACACCCATCCAAGCCATGAGCAGCCATATGATCCAGAACCAGCCCAAAGGCATGTAGTTTAATTCACAGGGTGCTGTGCCCAAGCAAATACTCTCTAAAGAAAAGTGTTTCATATGCTGGGAGCCAGAGAATACTGCCTTAGCCACAGACCCTGCTAGCCTGGCTACACTGGAAGCTTACAGTTCTACTAGTAAATAAACTAGACAGGGTGACTGCCCACGCTTAAACGCTGTCTTTGCAGTCATCTACGCTGTCTAACTGTTTATCTGTTAGCCTACTCCCTGACATGATTTAAGACCGTGCCAGTAAGCACTCTCCCAAACGATGCCTAGCACCCTTCTTTACAGAACAGCATGGCAGAGAGATCATTCCCAGCAGGCAATAAAACCATTGTTTTCTGGAACAGAGGAGGGAAAGAAAGTTTAGCTTGAGGGATACAAGTTGTCTGTGCTTCTTTGCCTCAAGGCTAAGCAATATTCCTGTGGCTATTTTGTTTACCTGTATTTACTATTTATATAGCAAAACCACCTTACTTCTGGGTAGCTTGAACTCTGAGTAGAGAAGTTCAGGGCTGCATGTGTCTATCAGTGAGGTTACACCTGGAGTACTGTGTCCAATACTGGGTTCCCCAGTACAAGAGGGATATGGTGTTACTGGAGGAAGTCCAGCAAAGGGCCACTAAGATGATAAAGGGACTGGAGCATCTCTCCTATGAGGAAAGGTTGAGATAGCTGGAGCTGTTCAGTCGAGAGAAGAGAAGGCTAAGAGGGGATCTTATCAATGTGTATAAGTACTGGAAGGGAGGGTAGAAAGAAGAAAGAGCCAGGCTCTTTCCAGTGGTGCCCAGTGGTAGGACAAGAGGCAATGAGTACAAACTGAAGCACAGGAGGTCCTATCTGAACATCAGGAAACACTTTTTCACTGTGAGGGTGACTGAGCACTGATACAAATTGCCTGGGGAGGTTGTGGAGTCAATTCAAATTCAAAAGCCATTTGGACATGATCCTGGGCAACCTGTTCTAGGTGACACTGTTTGAGCTGGGGGGTTGGACCAGATGACCTCCAGAGGTCC